ATTACCTGTGTAGAATATGATAAACTACGGCTTCTGTTTAGTACAAAAAAGTTATCAGATAAAAATTATCAGATACTTGAACAATTCTTGGACACCATTTTATATACATGTGGAATAGCATTTTATAATACTTGTGAATTATCTCTTACTATATCTGCAAAATAGTATGAGATAGATAAGCCTCCTGATAAACTTGACTGCAATAACAATGATATAGAGTCAGTTTCTAGTCTTAGCTATTCATATCTAGAGCAAGACATCAATAATCTTAAGAATGATAAGAGCTGTTATAGTGAGCAAAGTGTGCAAAGTAAGCAAAGTGAGCAAAGCAATCAAAGCAATCAAGAAGAAAATAATGAGTCAGACAATACTTATTCTAATGAGCTTAGTGAAAAAAATAAAAAAGATGAGATTGATGATCCTATACAAGAAATTTTTAAGCTTGTTTTCATTAACGATTCCTGAACATGTGCTTCACTAATAGAGAAACTATACTATTTGGCAAAAATTTATCACCTATTTGCTATTTGTATAGTAGTCTTGATATCAAACAGCCTATAACAAAAAGTATACTCTCAATATACCAAAACTGTACTGATACAAACAATTCAACTAAATGAAGTGGTCAGAAATTATCTAAAAAGGTTATTTCTAAAAAACCTTTTCATAAAACTTAAAACTAGAAATTTTGCTCAGATAATTTTAGCTATCCCGACTGCTTATTTCTAAATAAAGGAAGCTATTATTTACTAAACCATTGGTATTAGGTCATTAATACTGTAAAAGCCTTTATTAATATTAAATTTGAACAATACATCAAATTGAATTATAAATATAAATATATATAGCTTTTAAAAAATAAATAAATTATGCCGTAAGCAACAGCAATTCAATTAATAAAATCGTTTATATTAAAATTTCACAGATAAGCAGGTAAAATCTTCTCAAACTGTTATGAGAGAAATCAGTACCAGATATTATGTACATACATATGTATATACAGATATTACTTAAATGTATGCATAGTATCAATTCTTTAAGTTCATTCATGCTAGAGTTAAAATCAGTGTTATGAGCTAGAGAAGGATAGTTTGTATAGTAAAATAGCTCAACAAAAACTTTTTGTTAGTGTTTCTTATATAGAATTTTGAGAAATAAGCGAAACAAAAATTTTCTTGATTATGTTATATTGCTTGAAATCTGATTTGTAATTTAGTAAATCTGCACCATATATTCTATATATGTATGTATATACGTACAATAGTACTAATGTAATACAATACTTGGCTACTTCTTTGATGCATTAAAATTCTTGTTATAAATTTAGTAAGAATAATACTGATTGTATCAAAAAAGCAACCAATTATAGATTTATACAAATACCTTAAATTACTATAACAGGCATATGAAATTTTAATTCTATAGCCAGGTTTTGTGATCCGGTAGAAAACTTTTTTAATTTAAAATCTTATTTTTATAAAATTTTTGATTTATAATCTAGCTTTTATGATCTGACAAGTGTTTTTTATAATAAAATTTATAAAATTTCAATTTTATAATTTAAATCATATGATCCGGCCAGGTTATAAGAACTAATATATAAATTTTGTATGCCTAATATATAACAAATAAAAACTTTAATATATCAGAGTATATAATTTCACAGACATGAATGTCTGCAAAGTCATGTAATTTCACATCTGCGAAATT